TGGGGACCGTTTTTAACAAGAAAACAAAGTTTTCTGTATAATATTTTTCTTCGAATTATGCGAAAATATTTGTTTAAAAAAAGAATAATTTTTCTTTGCATAAAACGACAAGCGTCTATATTTAATTTGAAATGTCACGTGAGTATATGAGCGTATATACATATAGGTGGAACTTTCTTTCGTTAAAGCTCGTTTTACGACATCGTACGAACGATAAAATGATATAGAGCGCATCGCTCCCTTGTCCACTTGATGCGCGATTCTTTGTCGACGGCCGCAAAACGCTTCCTTCGAAAAATGCAACGTCAATGGAGGATATCCGAGAGTGTTTCGCTCGTAAAGCAACGTGCGATGCGAAGACGCTATATGATAAACTGTAAAATACCGGCCGAGAAAAAGTATGTCGTTGAAAAAATCGAGGAAAATCATAAATTCGAAATTTTACAGTGCCATAATCAGACTAATCTGAAATTTATAATAATATTAATATAAAAAATTTATTATATATTATTTATATCATATTTATTATATCTTTATATCATATTTAATATTAAATATTTGTATTAAATATTAATATATTTAATATATATAAAATACATTAATATTTAATATTAAAATGTATATATTAAATATTAATATATATTTTATATTTTTTTTATATTATTATTATTACAAATTTCTGATTAGCCTGATTATAACACTGTAAAATTTCTATTCTATAATTTTATGTATTATATGTAATATAATATATTTAATGTACCATATGTAACATATATTCAATCATCCTACTGCCTTATCTTACGATTGGCGAACCACCACTGCACTAATTTATGCGAAAAACTTTGCCAATTAATTTCGGATACATAACCCCGATTCGCTAATATTGATGCTTATCATATTCGTCTACGAAATACACGACTTCTCGTTACATGTTCTCCACGTGCTTACATCGAATGATGGGAGGGAGGGGGAGAGAAGGGAGGGAGAGATCGGTTGGCTCCTTTCGTTCCCGACATAGGTTTAGCATCGTGGAGTGTGACCCCGGGGCTGTTACGAACTTAATGAAGCTATTTTCCGTTTAATTAGAATCCCAACCGTGATCCTTCCATTCTTAGGTGGGTCTCGTCGTTAATCCTTCCGGCCGCGATATTAAGACGCCGAGCGTTCCTTATACAAAAGCGCGTTCGCTATACCACAATATCGTCAACTATATTGACTCGGCCTTTATGCACTCGGCAAGCTTGGTGCGAAAAGCGCGCGTACATTGTAGGCATTATTTATGAGCCTGATTTTCACCTGAGTTTCGCCAAAGTGTATATGAGAAGTGTAAGATATTTTAATGCAGGGAAAAAAAAATTACATGCAGATTCATACATTTAAAACACATAAAAAGCAAAATGCACACGCAAACGACTCATATTAATTTTTTAACATTAATGTAAGCATTGTTTATAAAAAAAAAAATAAAATAATTACATCGAATTTTTTCAAGTGAAAAAAATTTGTTAACTTGACCAAACCTTTCAACTAAATATTATTTTGTTAATTAAACATATAAAATTACTTAGATTAAATATAACGTAGGCATTATTTATATATATATATAGTTAATTGTTTCACATTATATCATGTCACATTTTAAGATCAGAAATTAAGTTTCTATTGTATATAGAAAGTTGTGTTTTAGCACTTGATAAGGGCCGAAACCCATGGCCGAAACGTCGTGAATATTAAATAAAGATTATTAAATAGCCAGAGTTGGTTGATTAAATTACTACCATTTTTATTATTTATGAGCCTGATTTTCATCTGAGTTTCGCCAAAGTGTATATGAGAAGTGTAAGATATTTTAATGCAGGGAAAAGAAAAAATTACATGCAGATTCATACATTTAAAACACATAAAAAGCAAAATGCACACGCAAACGACTCATATTAATTTTTTAACATTAATGTAAGTATTGCTTATAAAAAAAAAATAAAATAATTACATCGAATTTTTCCAAGTGAAAAAAAATTTGTTAACTTGACCAAACCTTTAACTAAATATTATTCTGTTAATTAAACATATAAAATTACTTAGATTAAATATAACGTAGGCATTATTTATGAGCCTGATTTTCATCTGAGTTTCGCCAAAGTGTATATGAGAAGTGTAAGATATTTTAATGCAGGGAAAAGAAAAAATTACATGCAGACTTATACAGATTTAAAACACATAAAAAGCAAAATGCACACGCAAACGACTCATATTATTTTTTTTAACATTAATGTAATAAGCATTGTTTATAAAAAAATAAAATAAAATAATTACATCAAATTTTTCCGAGTAAAAAAAAATTTGTTAACTTGACTAAACCTTTCAATTAAATATTATTTTATTAATTAAACATATAAAATTACTTAAATTAAATATAACGTATTAAGTCTAACAATATTTATATTTGCGACTTAAATATTAATATATGTTCAATTAACAAAATAGTAATTTAGTTGAAAGATTTAGTCCAGTTAACAAATTTTTTTTCAGTGGCACGAACGAACGACTTAAATTAATTCTTTAATGTCGCGTTCTTTGATTGCGTGATTGAAATAATTTGCAGACTACTGCATTGTTCTCTCCGGCTGGCGATGTATGCTCGTCAATTGGCCTCAATCAATTAAGCACCCCCGACAAAGTATTGAGTTACCGTATTGGATCTATTTGTATTAATCCTTTATTAAATGCAGCTCTTCCCGATTATGATTTATTAATAATTATTTCTTTTGTCGTGGTAGCCATCTCTAAAGCCCACGCAAACTACTTTGTTCTTGCGTTTTGCATTATATTGCAGTATATTATAGTATTTATATTATAAATAAAGTTTAATTATATAACTTTTGAATACGCGCGTTTGCCAGCTAGTATTTGCGGAGCAAAGCATTCCTGCATTGTTGTTTGAATAAAGGTATATCGTATATATCAGTCTCTCTTAGTACGCGTGTGCGTGCACACTATGAGACTATACATACACACACACACGCATAAATATACGCACAATATGTAGATTTCCTCTCGTAAATTGCATAACGAAACCGAAGGATATACTGGAAAACTTTTAGAAATATAATAAAAAACCGCTTATTGTTAAAATCTAAAGAATTCTTACACATGTTTATGTACATTCGAAACGCGCAGTCAATGAATAAAGTAGACTTTTCGGTTTATTCATATATTTCGTGCACTTTAGTTTATTTCACAATAGAGACTAGTATTCATCAAACGCTTCTTTTCTTTCTTTCTTTAGAATACAAAAAATCATTCTATTCGTTTCCTATTCCTTTCTCTGATATACGCTGAGTTCCTTTTGCGCCTCGGATACCTGTAAACTGCAGTCTCAGTTGACAATACATCGCATATTTTCTCAGTCGTTTCACTTCTCTCGTGACAGTTTGATCTGGTGGTAGAGTTTAGCATAGCTAGCACATTTTTTACTCGTTTTATGTAAAATCAATGTCGAAAAAATACGAAATTAAATCTGAATGTCGAATGGACAATTAAATGAATTAAGTGTCCAAGTGTTCGAATCATTGCAGTAAATTTAAATGTTTAATGTGTATTACGTAACATGGCAAGGAAGGCCTAAAGGCGCGTGAATGTGCTGCATACTTCAGTTTGTTCGAATCCTGCAAAGTGTTTTAGTCGTGAGTTGCGATAGTTTCGCTTTTTCGCGCAAATTAAATATTGGAAAATTAAGTGAATTAAGTGTCCAATAAGTGTTCGAATCATTGCAGTAAATTCAAATGTTTAATGTGTACCACGTGATGGGGCAAGAAAGGCCGAAAGGTGCGTGAATGCGCTGCATACTTCAGCTCGTTCGAATCCTGTAAAGTGTTTTAGTCGTGAGTTGCGATAGTTTCGCTTTTTCACGCAAATTAAATATTGGAAAATTAAGTGAATTAAGTGTCCAATAAGTGTTTGAATCATTGCAGTAAATTTAAATGTTTAATGTGTACCACGTGATGGGGCAAGAAAGGCCGAAAGGTGCGTGAATGCGCTGCATACTTCAGCTCGTTCGAATCCTGTAAAGTGTTTTAGTCGTGAATTGCGATAGTTTCGCTTTTTCGCGCAAATTAAATATTGGAAAATTAAGTGAATTAAGTGTCCAATAAGTGTTCGAATCATTGCAGTAAATTCAAATGTTTAATGTGTACCACGTGATGGGGCAAGAAAGGCCGAAAGGTGCGTGAATGCGCTGCATACTTCAGCTCGTTCGAATCCTGTAAAGTGTTTTAGTCGTGAGTTGCGATAGTTTCGCTTTTTCGCGCAAATTAAATATTGGAAAATTAAGTGAATTAAGTGTCCAATAAGTGTTCGAATCATTGCAGTAAATTTAAATGTTTAATGTGTACCACGTGATGGGGCAAGAAAGGCCGAAAGGTGCGTGAATGCGCTGCATACTTCAGCTCGTTCGAGTCCTGTAAAGTGTTGCGGTAGTTCCGCTTTTTCGCACTTCTTTTGTTCGTCGAAAGTGAAACGAGTGTCGGGCATATCGAATTAGTGCCGCGGATTTAATTACGAGTGTCGGTAGTGTCGAAAAAAGTGCCACATCTTCGTATAGAGAGTTAAAATTACACATGTACGAGATAACATCGCTCCAAAAATGTGTGCCGCTGCGCCTTCGGGACTTCGCTGCCTTTGGAAAATTTGGTCCGTAAAACGAGGTCCGGGAGAGGTCAGAGATAAAACGTTTTTCGCTACGACGACTTCATTGTTCTCCCCCGTTCGCCGGGGCCATAAATACACGGTACGTACTTTCTATAGATATGTGACAAAAATCGGGACGCGAATTTTTGGTTATATTATTCCATGAATATAGCCGCGCGTGTTAGAGCGCGGCCCGCCATTCGGCGCTGGTGGGGTGGTCACGTGGTACGCTTGAAAGGGGGGTGGTGGAGGGGGGCGCCGCGCCGACTAGGCCGAGTCCGCCAGCAGCGGCGGATCAGTTGCACGCTGCCGCGCACCGCGAGTTGTCATGTCGATGTCGAGTCTCTTGCTCTATCGTCTCCGATCGTTCGCATTAATAATGGAAACAAGTTGAAACATTGTCTGTGCGATATCGAAGATATCGGGAGTGCCGTTATTACATATCGTTTATTGTTATTCGGTGTCTCGATCGTTTTCTACGGAAATGATGCGCGAGTGAAATTATGTATATGCATCGATTTGATTTCGATAGTTGATAAAATATCGGAGTAATTTTCGATAATTCCGGTAATTCTTTTTTCGTCGAGTGATTTAAAGTTTGAATTGCATTCAGAATTTCGCGATTCATATTTCAATAGCAATATGATAAATCAATTTCAATATCAATTGTGATTATTGCAAATCGAATAAAGGAACATCATTTTTTCACGCATTGTTTAAGTGTTGGGAATTTTGGAAAATTTTAATTACTTTTACATTTAGAAAGTAATTTTTCTGATATTTTATAAGCATGCGCTGCTATTAATTTATGAATCTTTGAGTTACGAAAGTTTTTTTTTTTTTACATCATTTTATAAAAATGATAAAAACACATATTGAAGAAAAGATTGCAAAAAACTTGTGTTTTTATTTTTTTTTCTCTTACATTAGTGTCTTAATATAAAATCATTATTTTTTCTCTTACAATTAGTGTCTTAATCTAAAAAAATCAAAATTTCTTTTTAAATATCTGAACATAAAATCCCAAAATTTCGATTTGAAGCGGGCATTCGAAATTTCGAATGGAGTGCAAATCGTGTCGCGCTCGCGAGTGCTGGAAGCGAAATTCGCGCCTTCGGACGCGACGTGGGGGTCGAAAACAGCGGGGATTCCGAAGACAAGAGATCGCCGCGTGCCCTCGCACCTTTGGACGGCGCTACGCCTCGTTTCGCCGAGGAGAGATAGAGAGAGAGGTAGAAGTGCCCGGGGACGGTGGCCCGATGATTTAGAGAATCCCGCGTGTGAGTGACGCGGTGACGCGCGGACAATGCGCGGAATTTCGGTTTTGAATTTTGCGCGACGATCTCGTGACAGCGCGTCACGCGGCCGTGGATGCTGCCGCGCTTGGATATGTAGTGCCGTGGGTTGCAATGACGTTTGGCTTTGACCGAGTGGTCGTTAGAGTGGTCGGTATCTCTATCACCTCCTCTCCCGGGATTGGGAGATCTGATTTATGTTGCACCGGATGTGCCGAAGCCGCGTCGAATTTCTCCGCCGCGCCATCGACCTGGATTCATCGTCATCGAGATGATGATGGTGAGTTGCACCGTCGTCTTTTCTTCCCCAATATTTGCGAAGCCGAGGCGCTCTTACGGACGCGCGCGACGACCCACGTGTGCTTGCAGCTTCGATAGTATTTCGAGATTATTGTTGAATAATTTTTTTTTTTAATATACAGTGAATAAATGAGTAAACCAATTTTCGTCAATCTTTTTTTAGCTGGGTCTGTTTTTACGATATTACATGTAATTATAATATCTGTATCTTGTATATGTACATATATAAAATATTAAATATATGTATATAGAAAGTATTAAATATATAAAATATTTATTTTTTTAAATATACATAAATATATATATTAATTTTTATATAAATATTTAATACAATCTTTACGTAATATTTTTATTTGGTCGAGTTTTATACGTGTTTTACCTATGCAAGAAGCGTTTACTTATTTTCCTGTTCGCGTTTTTGTGCTCTTCGCGCCTCGAAATGCATACGTGTGTCTATCCGTGATCATTATCACAAGCTCGGCTATTCGGCTTCCGTAAACTTCGATTTTGTCTACTTTTTATATGAACCACCTGCTCTTTTCGAGCTTCCTTTTTATACACACATAAGAAAATAATATTTCAAATATTATCACAATTATGTTATTTAGCGGTGTAATATTAGAAAGATTATTACAATATATTTACGTTAGAATTGTATATCAATTACATAAAATTTTTAATTGAATTTTTTAACGTATTCGATTTTAATTTTATAATGAACCACATATCAATATAATAATTTATAATCATCAAATCAGGAATGAATATTAAACGAGAATTCGCGAATCCTTATCAAATTAATAATTTTTCTCGGACAAATTGACGATTTTCTTTTTTCAATGAATAAATTAATTGCTTGGATTAAGATATTTTTAAGTAAAGCTGCTAGAATAAAATCACAAAGGAACTCGTTTTGAATTAATACATTGGTTACATTTCTTCTTTTATTCTCCATTCCATTTAATGGAAATAAAAATTTGAATGAGTAAAAAAAGTTGACGTTAAACAATTAACGCATTCTATTTGATGGGATTTTAATACGAATAATGAGATTCTCTCCCCCTCTTCTCCCCACGACATATATACCGCAAAGGTTACTTTATTCTTTCTAATTTTATTGATGACGTTAGAGTTCATATTAGGCGGATAACACATTGGATCGGCTTATTAAAAGCAAGTATATAATATGGCAAAAGAACAAATATATATTAATTATTAAATATTATATTACAATAAAGTTTTAATTATAGTAAAAATTTTATTTAATAGAATTTTTGTTATAATAATTTAATAACTAAATAAAATATTTATATATATTAATACACAAAATATAAATATATAAATTATTTAATTTTTAAATGTATATAAATATATTCTAATTTTTAGATAAATATTTAATAAAATTTTACGTAATATTTTTATTTCGTTACGTTTTATATGTTTTATATTGTTTCGGGCAAGAAGCGTTTAGTTATTTTTCTGTTTATACGCATTTTTGTGCTTTTTACCATGAAATAAACACGTGTGTCTATCCGTAACAAATTCGGCTACTCAGTTTCCGCGAACTTCGATTTCACCTACTTTTTGTATGGACATCTGCATGTTTCGAATTCCTTTTATACACGCATAAGAAAATCAAGAAATAATATTTCAAGTTTTTCTACAAGTATCATGTTATTTAATGGTGTAATATTAGAAAGAATATCGCAATTTATATTTACGTTAGAATTCGTATATCAATTACATAACATTTTTAATTGAATTTTAATGTATTTGAATTGAATTTTAATGAGCCACGCTCAATATTCTACCCATACAGCACAAAATATTTTTAAAATCTTTGAAAAATATTTCTTAAAAGATAAAATAATTCTCGAAAATATTTTTGAATATAGATTTAAACTATTTCAAAAACATGCGTATCAAATATTTAAGAAAATATTATTTGAGCGATAAAGAAGAACATTTTTTAATTATTTTTCAAAGTTTTTTAAAATAGGTATTCTAAAAAATGTTATCACAAAAATTTATACATTATTTTAAAATATTCCTAAAACCATTTTAAAATGTTTTTATGCAATATTTTATAGAAATATTTAGAAATATTTTTTGAAAAGATTTATAATATTTTGTGCTGTATGGGTAATCAGGAATGAATGTTAAACGAAGATTCGAGTTCTTATCGAATTAATAATTTCTCTTGAACAATCGACAAAATTGCTTTTTTCAATTAATAAATTAATTACTTAGAGTAAGCAAGATACTTTTTAAGTAAAGCTGCCAGAATAAAATTACAGAGAAACTTGTTTTGAATTAATACATTGTTAGATTTATTCTTTTTAGTCTCCATTCCATTTAATGGAAAATAAAATAGTTCTGTTTTGCCGATTTTAAGTTAGGTTAGGTTAGGTTTATTTTTTATTGAATATACAGGTTGAAAAATCCTCCACAATAAAAGTACTGATAATAATGAATGGAGAGCGCTGTCCGGCAATTAATTTTTGCTGTTTTATGCCTCGACATCGATTCCGCACGCAAATATATATACATAATTAATTCAAGTACGAATCTTTTGATACAGGCTTTTAATCTAATTTTTCTTACTTCTGTATTATTTTTTCACGTCATCTCGATTGGGAGTGCCATATTTTGTGCACAAATAAACTGCAGAACTTTTGTATTAAATAAGTATTGTTATGAGCTGATGCAAGAGATCGATAAAAAACTGTAATTTTTTAATTTTTATTGTTTTTTTTATACGAATTTACAGCGCTCCCCGTTCATTATTATCAGTACTTTAATTGTGGAGAAGGATTTTTCAATATACATCTCTATAGCCAATAAAAAGGAAAAGCCCTTAAACTCAAAGTCGGTAAAACAGTCATGGTCAGCATTCCCTTAATGGAAAATAAAAATTTGAATGAGTAAAAAAGTTGACAAAAGTTAAACAATTAATTCTATTTGATAGGATTTTAATAGGAATAAAATCGACATTCCCTCTCTCCCTACATGACACCGCAAAAGGTCTCATTCTTTCTCGCTTTATTGATAATGTTGGAGTTAATATTATGCGTATGACACATATTGGATCTGTCGTCGGCTTATTTCAAGTCTGCTAAAAGCAAGCAAAGCGTAGGGGAGAAGGGCGCCGCGAATAAAGTCTCTCGATAGAAAAAGGGTATGTCGAGAGAGAGGAGGGTGAGATGTGGCGAGCGCCAGCCAGGGGGTTGACATAAAAGGCCAGCAGCCCCTGTTCTCCACGCGAGCCTCGATTGTTTCGAGCAGAAGCAACGTTCATTTGTTTTTCTTCCTCGCTTTTTCCACTTTCGCTCGCGGCCGATTATTTCCACGAATCCACTTATTGTTAGCTCCGAGACTCTATATATATATACCGATTTCTGATAAGACTTCCACGAACGTCGTGACTTTCCTCGTTCAACTTCTTTCGCACATAGTTCGTCCCCAAGACCGATCGCTCGTGAGATTTTTTTGCTACATATTTTAGTACGTATCGGAAAAATAAAATTCCAGAAATATTCTAAACGTTTTTACGACTGTCATACATTTAACGTAATGCTATTTAGAATATATTGAAAAATATTTATACTAGCACGCAGTTTTTGTATAACAATTCGAATTCTATACTCGGGAAAAAAAGAAAGAGGGACCATAAATTAATTGTAATTAATATATTTTATTTAATGTAAAACAGATTTACATAAAATGTTTTTAAACAATATGCTATGGAAATTTTAAAAATATCAGAAATATTTAAAACATGATTTATGTGAGATTTTTTTAACAAAATTTAATTATATAGTGAAGAATATATTATGCAATATTTATAGAATATTTCAACTTTCACATTCGCGAAAAAGAGAGAAAAGTATAAATTATTTATAATTAATGTTTTATATAATGTAAATATATTTTTAACAATATATTAGAAATTGTATAAGTATTAGATAAGAAATATTTAAAACATTGTGAAATTCTTTTTACAAAAATATAGTTAAAGGTAAAAATAAATTATACAATAATTTTATCTTATATTTCTATACTTTTTGGTGTATGATTTAGAATATTTTCTGCACACTAAACAACATGTGTTAATTAATTTACATATAATTAATTAATTAGAATATGTTTGCATATAATTAATTAATCAGAATATAATTTATATATTCTTTTTAGTCTTCTTAACTTACACTCTCTCTTTATTCTAACTAATAGGAATATAAAACACTTTCCCTTTCTTTTGCGAGTACAAAATTGGAGAGTTAAATGATCGCGAGGAGTATGAATAGATTTTTGAAGTAACAATAAGAAAAAAATTCTTCCATGTCGTGTCTAGGTGAAAGAGACAGCCACCTGTGCACGTGCACTTATATATATATATATATATATATATATATATATATATATATATGTATATATATATATACAATATATATATATGAAAGCTGGTTTACACGTGGGCGAAACTCGCAGTTGGCGCTTTACAGGAGGATATCGAGCTATAGTAAATTTCAAGATGCGGTAAATTCCGCGAAAGAATGATATCTTTGCGAATTTAGCGATATCGTCATCGCATTACGAAATCTTTTAATGGCAGAAGCATATGTTGCGGAACTATATATGATAATTTCTATTAGGTAATAGAGGAGATGATAGATTGATATTCACAGAGTGATCATTTCGGTAATGAAATCGAACCAAGAATATGGCGCGCACCGGTCGGTCAATTAAACGGTATCATCTGCAACCGTGAAATTTCGAGCGGTTTAATCGTAACAGCTGACAGACACGATGCGCTCTAATTTCCTCATCCGTGAGTAGGCAATATGGTGTGTTTACGGATGACCGCCGATTAATAAGCTCATCATTATATAAACGCTTTAACATTTTTATATATGTTACATATATTATGTAATCAATATTAATTATATATTATATAATTATGCATATCTATATGTGATC